ATGATTACGAATAATTCTAAATAAATATTACATTTTAATTGCTCTAAACTATTCAGAAGATGTCACAAATAGATACCAACACAATTATAAAAAACACTTTAATAATATCCATAAATAGATATCATTAAAGAACTATACTAAAATCTAGACTATATTTAGCAATGGATTTTAAGGATTAGAGTAGAAAAACAATATACTTTAGGGACCAAATAAGATTTTTTTTTACAAATTCTAAATCTAGTCTTAATCTTACCTAAAGAGAAAGGAAAAGGGACTATAGGGAAAGAAAGGATAATGCAAAGATTTAAATAGCTGTTTATAAAGGATAATGCAAAGATTTAAATAGAGTCGGTCACCACAATAGCGGTAGCGATGTCGTTTGATACTGTTATTGCAAGATCACAATACTTGCAATCACTGTAATAATGTTACGTAATCGTGATAAACACAATATGACCGAAAATTTAGCCGCAACGACAATTTAAATCTATGAGACAATACTCTTGGTGGATCTGAAATTTAACTTAAAGAAATACAAAGAACAAATATTAACAAGTTAACCAATCGATTATCGATTAATGTGCTTACTCTTAAACGAATAATTAAATTAGAGGGCAGGTGGTGTACTTTAATTGACGGGAGAATTTCATGGATTTTTAAAGGAAAAAGGTTAAAGCATTTAACAACTGACATTTGACAAAAATAATGTTAAAAGTACATTTGAAGACCAAATCAACCATTAAACCTGTTATTCCGATGATTGCTGATTGGTTTTGGGATATCAAGGTTGGTATAAAACCGACGTTTTTGGAACCTGGGATTTGACCTTTTCAGATTACTTATTCTAAAACCAAATTAATAGTAATGAAAGTCAACATTTTTTTTTTGTTTTTTAAAGAAAACAGCAACACATGATTCTCAGGGCAAGTGTCGGTGGTCTATGCGCCTGCTTCAGTAGCATAAACAAAGCTTTTTCCCTCTATTCCAAACAAATCTCTTCTTTAGCTCTGACATCCTTGTGAAAACCCCTTTTTCTTTTTCTTTTTCATCCACCCCTTAAGCTCTGAATTTCTGGGTTTCATAGAATTTTGATAGAGAAGAAAATGGGATGCGATTTGAGGCAAGTGGTGGCCGGCATTCTCACTCTCACCATGTTTGTGATGCTTGGCCAAATGATCAAAAGAGACCATTTTGAATCCCCTCAGGTAATATATATATATATATATATATATATATATATATATATATATATATATGCATGGATTTAAATGAGGTTGCGGTCGCCTTTTCAGATGTGTTGTGTTTATTGTAATTGTAGTAACAGCTGATGCTGTTTCGATCTTTGCACTGCATCTTTATCGCGACCGCTATTTCGATAGCATACAACTATTTAAATCCCTGTTAATGTGTGTGTATTCTTCGTTGATCTCAAGTTTTTCACCGTTTTCTTCCATGTTTTCAAGAGATTGAATTTTTATGCTCAACCATGTTCCCAATTTAATGACATTGTTTTATTTGTTTCTTCCATGTCTTTTATTTGTTTTATTTGTTTCTTCCATGACCATGTAACTTGAAACTTGTTATTATTTTGAAAACATTAAATCCAGATGAAGTATATTGAAAACTAGATTTAATTAAGGAATAAAAGACAACCCATTTACAAATCCCTGTAGCAGTAAATGATGCAGAATTTTATGCTATGGCCGAACTCATAAAATTTTACTAGACAAACTCTACATTTACATGGTCTTTTTCCTTTCATTGTTTTGTAGGAGAAAATTCCCGGACAAGCTCAGGATTCTCAAGTTATCGAGAAGGATGCACTTGTAAAGCTTTCTGAAAGTACCAAAGGGCCATGGATAGAGGATACTGAAGAGCTAAAACCATGCTGGAGCACAGTTTTTGGTTTGTTTACTTCACTCAACTTCTTCAAAAATGACCAAGTTTTCTATGAACTTGTTTAACATGTATCGTTGTCCGATGTCGAAATTCATTTTCGTGACAGAAACTTATGTTAATGTTCATTCTAATTGATGGAGCTCTTACTTGTTGACAGATCAGAATGAGATGGAACGTTCAAGAGGGTATGTTACTTTCTCATTGACTAATGGCCCAGAGTACCATGTCTCTCAGGTATATTCACTATCTACATCTAACTGATATAGCTTTGTTGTTTCGATTTTGTGTTTCTTCTCTCTTAACTATCTTTATTGCATATGAAAGTCCCCTTTTGATTGCGGCCTATGCGACATTAACCTCGTTCTTTTGACCCGAAAATTGATTTAAGATCGAACCGTGCTTTTTTAACCTGTTTTGCATCTAAACTATCATTCATTCTATGGTTTTTGCATTCATCAGGTAGCTGATGCTGTAGTAGCTAGGTATCTATCTGCAACTCTTGTACTTCCTGACTTTAGAGGAAGTAATGGTGCTGAAAGGTTAGTTCTCGTGTTAATTTCGAACATCTCATATTACATTGTCTTCTTTTCCTTCACCCTTTAGTTGTAGTAAGACTTTTTTTATCCAATGAAGAATGTTGAGCAGTGCAAATTTCATATGATCTATGTGAAAAATCTGAATTGCAGTAAAACAATTGAATATGATCTAAACTTTCCTTTTTTGGATGACCATATCTTCAGAACCTTCAAAGACATTTATAATGTTGAGAATTCATGAAAAGCCTGGAAGGGGTTGTCAAAGTCGTAAACGGATTGCCGGATCAGATATCAATTCTGGATCTTGCTGCCGTGAAGGTTCCGAATCGGGTCACTGAAGATTACATAATGGAAAATGTAGTACCTGTATTTAAATCAAAGGGCAATATAAGGCTTGCAACCTACTTCCCTACTGCAAATATGAGAATAACAGCACAAAAGAGTAGTGTTGATTTGGTTCCTTGTTTGGGAATGTTTGGAACTTTGGAGCTGCAACCGGAGGTTAACAAAGTCATCGATTCAATGGTTGAACGACTCAGAACTTTGAGTCGCAAATCAAATGGCCGGTTCATAGCAGTAGACTTGAGGGTTGAGGTGTTAGAGAATAAGAACTGCCATGGAAGTGGTTCTGTTGGGGCCAAGAGTTGTTATAATGCAGAGGAGATTGCTTTATTTCTAAGGAAGGTCGGATTCAACATGGATACCACCATATACCTAACTCAAACAACCTGGGACAGCAGCCTCAGTGTCCTAAAAGATATCTTCCCAAGAACATACACAAAGGTGAGTAAAATTTTCTCTTCTCTGATAACAATCCTATATTCCAAACACCGTTTTGCTCATCGGAACCGTTGCAGGAAAACATAATGCCGAAGGAGAAAAAGAGGAAGTTCCTTGAACCGGAAGGTTCGGAATTCGAAAGGGTTATAGACTTCTACATATGTTCTCAGAGCGACTTATTTGTCCCAGCCATCTCCGGGCTGTTTTATGCGAATGTAGCCGGAAAAAGAATAGCTTCAGGGAAGCCTCAAATCCTCGTTCCGGACAAGATTCCGGGTTCCTCTGCTCACATCACTAACTACCTCTCTCCTTATGTTGCCAAGAAGAACCACTTGGTTTATTCATGTTTTTGTTAACCCTGCCTTTTGAGGTTAACCAGGAAAGAGTCCATTTTGGATGTGTATTTGAACAGGTATACTTCACTTGTTCATTCTTCATTTGGGGTGTGAAGTACCATAGATAAAAAGTTCTGTTAAGATGATCTCTTTTGTTTGTTTGTTGTTTTTCTCTCATATGGTAGAAATATTAGAGGCTTTGAGTCAATATGTGCTTGTTATGTTGTAAAAGCTTCATTGTTATAGAGGTGCACATTTCATAAATTTATTATCTTTAATTCATCAAAGAAATGGGAAAAAAGTTATTTATGTGAATGTATATAGTAAAGTGACTTAAATGTTTCTTTTATTTATAAGATTATTATTTGATTCACAAATTGTGTAAAATTTAACCTGTCTTTATTTTATCCTTAATTTCTAAAAGTTAAAGTACTATTCTTAGATCCCTAAATTCTAAACCCTAAACCTAAATCCTAAATAGGATACATGTAATTAAATAAACATAAACATTCTTATGTAAACTAAAATTTAAAATAAGCTTGTGTATCGGATAATTTTTCTTATTTATAGTCATAATTTGTATAAAAATTAATAGTAACGATATAACTATCAAGCGATCGGTTCAATGATATATTGTCTAAATAATAAATTTAAATTTTAAAGATGATATTGTTAAGAAAAATAATATAAATTCTGAATATAAAGTATAATTATACATAAAAAATATTAAATATTAAATAATAGTAATAATATGAGTACAAAAATTGTAATGTGAATATTTTTTCTTTTCGATTCAAACGACTATCATATATCTCAACCAACATGTTAACGTCTAACTCAGATTGTCATCATTTTTTTTTATTAAATTTAGGTGATTACAATATAGTATTTGTTATAAAGATTCTAAATTATTTGACAATGAACACTCAAACACCTCTGTAGAGGTTGGTGCTTGAACCCGAGACTTCTAAGACAATAATCATTTCTTTAACCACTAAGGTAGCTTGATTCGTGCACTGTCATCAATTTTTAACGAAAATGGACGAGTTTGGAACATATGAAGAGTCGAGTGACCATTTTATGACTTTCAATAGTCGAGAAACTCAACAAAACAACACAATACCATTTTATAATTTTTAATAGTCGAATAACTCAATAAAAAAAATCCTCTATATTGGGAGACTATTTGTGTATTTTACCCTTATAAATAAATAGTAACCCTACCCTTTGCATTAAGTTTATTTATTTTTAATTAATCACTTGTATCTGATCTATTGATCGATTAATCCAGATCGGGTACTGCAGAGACGAGGGCGATCCTCCCAACCCAGTTTGCTCCATTCGTAAATACCAGGATTCAAACTCCTGACCTTACTTAAGATACATAGTACCTCATCGTACTAAATCAACTGGTTGTTTATTGTATATATATATAAAATCGACCCATACACTAGGCATCCGAAAAATCCATGTTAAAAACCTACATCCGAAGAGAACGACAAACTCTGTTTATTACATGCAGTGACGGCTCTTCAGATTTTGCACGACGCCCTTGTTTATTACTTTCCGCAAAGCAACTTTGGCTTCCTCCATTGTTTCAACACCCTGCTCTTCTTCAAATGATAGCCTCTGTACGTTCAACTGAAAACAATATGACAACTGACATAAACCCCGACGAAACCCGAGCTTTAGACCTTATAAGTCTATGTTAGACGGGTATGTTTCCGACACGCATATGATGAGTATTTTCAAAGTTGTTTCAGATATTCCAGAGGCTATAACCCCATCCATCCGCATGCTCATGTATGGGACACGGGTACGTCAAGAAAAATGAAGAGTTATATCAACATAGAATGATAGAAATAAATGTTACCTGTCCACCCTAATGTCAGTCTCCTTGCTGTCGGTTGAAATAAGAGCTGCATCATCAGCCTCACCTTCTGCTGATCTATAGCAAATCTTTGAGTGGCTTTGAAAAGGTTGCATTGAGTTCCTAGCAAATTAAACCAACATTACCCAGAGAAAAAAGGACATGTTAGAGCCCAACAGTTCTTCGGTACAAGTGTCGACACGGGTATGTACCCCACATAAGTATAGTCCAATATCCAAGTCTCAATAAAAAATGAAGAGTCCGAAAAACTTATGTCAGAGAACATATATAAGTAGAATAATCGATTCCAATATTCAATTGACATCTCTTTTGACAGAAACAGAAGCCGCAAAGCAAACACGACAGATACAATTTTAAAATTATATAAATATAACATAAGTTTTTTTTTGTATTAAGCCTTAAAAAAATGAGTATAAAAGTGTAGAGAACAAAGTAAGAAATGAAGGTGAAACGGTGGATGATGTGAAACGGTCAAAATACTCTCCAAACCATTCGCATCCGAAACCTCCGAATGTGAAACGGTGGATGATGTCGATGTTACACATACCCTTTTGGGTTTAACACCGTTGGAAGAAGATTCACTTGTTGATAAACAATGAGAGGAGGAGGAAGAAGAAGAAGAAGACGAGAAAGTGGAACAAGCCATTGGGTGGTTGGGTTTTTCAGAAGAAGCTTTGCAAAGATTATGAGAAGAAGATTTACATTTCGAGCAGAGAATCTGACGGAGATGACGAGCGACAAGGAAGTTGGCATGGTGAACCTTGTGATCGCATTTCCAACAGAGAAGAGCAGAGTCTGCCGAGCAGTAAACGGAGGCCTCCACTTTGCAAAGCTCGCAAAGGTTGCCTGTCTTCATGTTTTGATTCCTTTGTTTTTTATCAGATAACAAAGGAATGTGAAGTAATAAGAAGAATAGATTTAGGGGGAGAGGGAATTGAGGAGAAAATAGAAAAAGGGAAAAGGGAAAAGAAAGAGATGTTTGGGGAAGATAGAAAAGCGGTGCAAAAACAAACAATTTGCTTCAAGAGATTTTAAGAAAATGAGAGAATTTGTGAGGGTTTTTATTTTTGTGTGGTTATTATATTATTAATTTAATTAATGGTTCTAATAATAATAATAATAAATAAATAAAGTAAACTACATCCTATATTATCGAACTTTAGATATTACATCGTTTATACCAATAAACTTTTAATTTTATCAATTATATCATTAAACTTTGATTTTCGTTTCAATTATATCATTGAATCGTTAAATCGTTAACAACGTGATCATGTGGCTGATGGATGTCGATGTAGTCACGTCACAAAAACAACGTCGTTTTGATCCGATTATTACCGATTTAAGAGTCCAATGATACAATTAAAACGAAAATCAAAATTTAATAATTGATAAAATTAACAGTTCAATGGTATAACTAATTAATTAATGTTTTTATTTTATTGTGTGTTTTAATACATGCATGTTGTATCAAGTTTTTTAAAAATAAAAAAATAAGAATTAAAAGTATTGTTGTTGAAATTAAAATTTAAAATTAAAAGCATAAAACATTTAGTATACATATTTTCAATGGATAAAGTCATCCAACTAGTGAATTGAGAATAATATTTTTTTTACATGTTTTTTTCAAATTATTCCTATAAGTTTTATAGCACTAGAGCTTACAATGTTTATTACGTTTTTATTGTCAAATGATTAAAGATTTATACCATAGATATTATATTGTAATCGCTTTAGATTAATAAAAAAATGGGGACTATACACATATTTTCTCAAATAATAATAAAATTTGAAACTAATATTTTAAAAGGCTTAATGTAAAAATATTTGTCCAAACTATATCCTAAGTTAAATTTAGGTGTGTAAAGATTTTTTTCGTTAAAAATAGGTTTCTAACATTTCTGATGTTACACTTTTAGGTGTCTGGCATTTTCTATGTTACACTTTTAGATGTCTACGTAGTAACGACATTTAAAAAGCCCATTAAGTGACACATGTCATGTTTATATTTTGACTTAATACAAAAATAAGTGTTTAAACTATAGTCTAAGTTAACTTTAATTTCCTAAAGAATTTTTTATTAAAAATATATGTATAATGTTTTCTACATTATACTTTTAGATGTATACGCAGTAATAGCCGTTAAAACCCATTAAGTGACACATGTCATTTTATATATTTTAAAATTTTTTATTTTTTAAAAAAGATTAATAATAATATTGTTTGAAATACATTTTTTTTAAAAAATATAATAAAAAATTGCATCCCTAAAATCTCTTATTTTAATATCATTACTAATTGTCGTCGGTCATCACCAAGTAGCCTTCGCCATCGTTAAACAGTCACTCACCTATCACCGGATATCCATTGTCGACCATCCCTCTTGTTGTCTAAATCCCATTATCCACAAATTTTAAATTAAATCTCTAAACTAAATACTCAAATCTCTAACCTTAATCTCAAATTTTTCATTCTCACCTTAAGTTAAACTATACGGATTTATGGGGAATATACACACTAAATTTTATCCAGAATATATTTTCATTTTCTTCTCATTCTTTTCTATCTCATTCTTACTTTTATTTTATTTCGTTTTATTTATTTATGTAACTTTTATTTGTATTACTACCTCCAATTACATATCATACCTTTATATTACAATATTATTATTTATTAGTAATATCATAATTAAATTTAATTAAGTTGGATAAATTTATTTTTTAATTTTAATTTTTTTATTATTATATGCTAGATTAATGCTTGTTGGTTAAAAACATAAATAATTATCGAATATGAATACATGCATTAGAGCTGGGTATATGGGCTAAGGCCCGCGGGCTACCCGTATAACCCGCGGCCCGTGTGGGCTTCGGGCCTAAAAAAATAAAGCTCGTTTAAATTGTGGGCTTATTAGGCTGGACTGTTAAACTCGTGGGTTTAATGGGTATACTCGTGGGCTCCGTGGGTAGCCCGCTTAATTTAATTATTTTTTCAAATTATTTTATGTTTTATGGAAGACAATTTACGTTAGGCCTAATTCATGTTTTATGTGCATTTTAGCCATAGCTCAATTCACGTTTTATGTGCACTGAAATCTGAAGCCCAATTCACATTTTAATTTGATGATATACAATTTTGAAGTTCAAACGTATTAATTATACCTATGATAACATAATATGATAACATAAGCAAAAATGTTTCCATCTTTTTATATACATATTTACCATTTATAATTAATACCATCAATATATATATAAATAAGCCATAAAACGTTTATTATACTCCAATAATTAATCAGAAGAAAAACTATATACATATACGTTAAAAAAAGAAAAAACAAATCAAAATATTAAACCATGTATAAATATAATAATTAAATTAAAAAGGTAAAGTAACATAATATGCAAATATACAAATAATATATAAAACTTGAGGTAGTGATAAAAAACATACATAAAACTGGAGTGCAAAATTAAAATAATAAACTATATTTGAGGATTATATTGTATTAATTCAAAAGTGGGTGAAGCCCTTACACGATTAGCACATTAAAACTTGTCATGGAAATCTCTAAATTACGTTGTTTTGTGTGACTTATATTATTATATATATGCCGTTATAAAATTTTAAGAACCATAACCTCATTTTTTTTGTTTCCATTCTTCGCAGTTTCTCTCTATCTCCCCAACTTCTCTATTCTTTCACATAAACAGTAAACGAGTAAGTCTGTTAGCCTGCGGGTTAAATGGTACGAGCCGCAGGCCTTAGAATTAAAGATTGTTTATGATTACGGGCTTTTTAAACCGCTCCGTTTAAGTCCGCATCGTCAAAACCCGCAGAAGGATTTGTCCAACTTTACAAAACAACCAGCCCCCAGAAGGAGCCCACTTGAAAGCATCAGACCAGAGAAGCGGCCCATCCAACCATCAGCCCAATGGTGTATAGCCCACCTGCGTGAAACCTGAACGATTAGGATTTGTCATCCTTAGCCAAGCATAGCACGGACTGAGGACCGTTAGATCTGCTTCCCATCTAACGATCCGAATCAAAAGGCCACTAGGGTTTCATAACCCTTTTTCGCGCAGCCGCCTCCCAGCCGTTGGATCTAATTTTAGATCCAACGATCCAGATCCCACAATTATTAAGTTTTTACCCTAATGTGAACTCGTTGCCGCTGTTGAAGAAAATGAGCCATCAGATTTGATTGGCGTAAGATGCAAGCGTGTGTCCCTCCAGCTCTCACACGCACACCATATCAGTCCCCACAAGGCTCCAGTCGTCCTTCCCGCGCCACGTAGGCTATACTCGACTCCACTAGAGGCTCGTGTGATCCCTTCCATGTCTCCTCTGCTATTGCTAGGACAGAGCTTCCCCGCGCATAAAAAGGATAACAGACGCTGTAAGGCCTCTCCTAGATCGTTGGATGAGCCAAGATGGCCAAACCGAGGGTAAAAGTAGGGATGTAAATGAGACGAGATCGACTCGATCAAGGCTCGATAAATACTCAGATCGAATGGACTCTACTCAAGTTCTTAACGAGGCAAAACGAGCTACTCGATACTCGACTCGAAAAGCTCGTGAGCAGCTCGAAAAAAATGTTATATTATAATTTTAGATTTTTTAAAATTGCATTATTAAAAATACATTATTGACAATTATAAAATTTTAAAAATATATTAAAATTTCAATAATACAACTACACTCAAATTTTAATTTTTTTAATTAACCAGCCGAAGTTCAATTGTTACATTGTATATTACTAAAAGAAAAATAAAAGCTCATTTAATTAAGCACATGTTAGATTACACGTGTTTGGTTGATTTTTTTCTTTCTTTTTAACTTTTTACTACACAAGTTGTAACATCCGCAATACCGAGTTAGTGACTAAATTGAAAAGTTTCAGAATTTGATGACTAAAGTAGAAGAATGAAATAATTCAATGATTATTTGAATATATAATGAAGGTTATTTAGTAATTATTAAAGGAAATTAAGGGTATTATGGTCTTTTCCTTTAAAAGATATTCTTCCCCCTTTTATAAGAGTGAAAAACGTGGGAAGAGAGCTATCTGGAAGCTTTCTTCTTCTTGCTTTCTCTTCTTCACGTGGGGCTTAGCTACAATAGGTAAGTTTAATTTCAGTTGGTTAATTCTTGAGTTTTAAGCTTAGTTTTGATTCTTTGGGTATTAAATAAGCTTAAGGAAAGCTTATATGGGATTTAAACAATAAGATAAAGGAATTAAGAAGGAATTTGCAATATGAGTTTTAAGATGAAATTTTGATATGGTATGGTTGTTGAAGTTTTATGGATGAATTTGACTTGTCATCAATCTAATTAAGAAGTATGAAGTGTTAGAATTGGAATTAGAACACATTGAAAATTTGGTATGATTCTTGAATCTCATATGGAAGATAGGATTTTGAGGTTTAAGATGAAATAAATGAATATAGATTGGTTTAAGTATGTGTACTAGAGTTAAGAATGAAAAGGGGATGATATATGAAGTGTTTGAGAGGAAATAAAGTAATTTTCGAGTTAAAAATATGATTTCTGGGCAAGGGGAATCGGTACCCATTCAAGAGGAACCGATACCCCTTCAAACGAATAAAAATTTACAGAATGTCATGAGGGAATCGATACCCCCTTAGTAGGGAACCGATTCCCCCTAAAGGAAAAAGGTGAATATTGGTTTAATAAGTTCGTTTAAGTTGCTAGTATCCAATTACAAGGTGTAGGTATCTAATGATTGCCTCAAAATGTACATTTATGTAGATTCTGCGCATAAAGCAATTCTGGAACATTTGGCAAGTAAGATCGATCAAGGGAAAGATAAGAGATTGAAATTGACTAGTGAGG